TGCTGACTGTCTTAGCTATTGACTGCGGACACTGACTGACTGAGCTATTGACTGCTGACTGTCTTAGCTATTGACTGCGGACACTGACTGACTGACTGACTGACTGAGCTATTGACTGCGGACTGCGGACACTGACTCACTGACTGAGCTATTGACTGACCGACTGACTGACTGACTGAGCTATTGACTGCTGACTGCGGACTTAACCGTGATCTATATGTCAATCAACCGCGAGGAAGCCCGAAGTTCACCCCGCCGGGCATTTTCTCAACGGTCACAGCTGATGCGCCTCCTTGCAACGTATAGCTTCGGAGCAGCGCGGCGCTAGTCAGAGATCCATGCTTGGCACCGCCGGGATTGGTCTCCTGGTGTTAAGGCGGTTAGGTTTATCGTACCTTTTTTCCTTCTCAAGGGTCGAAAGTTTGATCTGTCTGTTTACGAGCAGAGATGGCTGGACCATTTGTTTGTACAATCCAGCCACGAGGCAGTCCGTACCGTGGGCTACCGGTAGGTCCCACTTGTTGCACGAATTAACAGGTATTGACCGTAGATAGCAAGGATCAATGGCCGAAATCTCCTGATCCGTGCAAGTGGGACGTTGCCCACGTAAGCAGGTAAGTCTTTGAGCTGTGCTCGTGCCGACGGCTCCATGTCCCAGGCTACCGTCTTTCCCCGATTTTCTTTTCTTTTTTTCTTTTTTTTTGCGTCTTTTCCGCTCCCGCGATTATAACGTGCGTGTCACCCAAGAGCTAGCTCAGTGGGTACACCGACGAACCGTTGAAATGCAGACCCCCAGTTCGAATCCAGATGATGGAACGTTGTTCTTTTTTTTTCTCTTTTTTTATTTAAATCACCCCGGTAATGCTAGCGGTGCTGATATCATCAGACACCGCTAGCACTCCAGGCAGGCTCCATCTATTGGTGGGGAGCAGCACCTGCTTTATTACCCAGCGGTGCTGATATCATCAGACACCGCTAACACTCCAGGCAGGCTCCATCTATTGGTGGGGAGCAGCACCTGCTGGAAACCGGGTCCAGCGTCCCTTACATTTTGAATAAACAAGCATAAGGAATCATGAGATAGCCTGCTGGAAACCGGGTCCAGCGTCCCATTGCTAACCGTCCTGTTCTGTCCACAGCCAAGGTCTTGGGTTGGGGCTCAGCAGGGCCGCTAGGGGGCACCAGTGTGTGAAAAGTCTGAGAAGTCTAAAAGAAACTGAAAAGCAACTAAGGGCACCAAAAAACAACTGATAAACAGCCTGAGGTTTGTTTGAACGGGATCTGGAGAGGATCTGAAGGGTAGTCAGAAAACCACCAGAGAACCACCCACAGAAACCCACCAACCCAAGTTCTCTCTCTTCCCCCTCTTCCCCCTCTTCCCCTTCTTCCCACTTTTCCTTCTCGACCTACCCTCTTGCCCTCTGGAGCCCCGGGAGCGCCTGAGGAAAGCTGAGAAACTTGGGGAACGCTGAGAAAAAGCTGAGAAAAAAGAAAACCAGTCTCAGATGAGACACAGACCATTTGGCACATCAGCCCTCCCACTGGTATTCTTCCAGAGATAATGGATGTGGGGGGAAAGGGTCGTCGAAATCCTGGGCCGGTCGTAGCTGTTCCCTCGGATCCAC